CTCAACTAACAATAATGTTTTAAATATATTACATTTATTAATCTTATTATTTAAGTTGTGATTAGCGATATTATTAGTATTATTATTGTTTTAAAAATATTGTTATTAATATTATAATAAAAAAATAATATTGGAGAATTTTGTGTGTTTTATTTAATTTTTAAAGGATTTGGAGTCTGAAGACAGCGGTGATGGTGTGAATTATAGTCTGAAGACCTTGGGTAAGTCATGAAATTAAACTTATTACGCTTGTTGTGAATTACACGTATTTCAACTTAGCTTGTAGCGTATTAATAAATGACCATTTATTTTGTGCAGAAGATCAATGTGACATCAGGCAATGCAGGTAGTTTCACTTGCTTCCAGAACCAATGGTGCCTTACGTCACGACATGGAAGGATGTCATTGGTGACGGAAACTGTGGCTTTCGTTGTGTGGCTGACTTCTTCTATTGGGTGATGAGCAATGGTTTACCGCTTGGGTTACAATAGCAAATGAGGTCACCGCTCATCCAATGTTCTACGAAAGGATTTACGGGATTTGAAGGGTAGGGTTGAATATAGAACATATTTCGATGGGATGGTGAGGCGGTTGATATACTCAATTTACATTTCCATGTCAAACTAAGCATATCATGCTATCAAGCTCCTAAATCAAGGGTAGTTAATCCTATCATGAAGAACTAACAAGCAATTTCATACAATCAATTTAATTGCAATACAAACATTAATGCTACTCCCACATTTTCATAACTAACCTAAAAGGTTGAGCTTCACCCAACCCCTAGCAAGAAGACTACTCACAACTCATGTTCATCAACATGCAAACAAGTATTAGGGTTCTAACTACTTCAATAATTGGGGAAAAGTGGTTAACAATTGAAATAACTATCATCCAATAACAAATTCTCAAGAACTAAGGGGATTCAAGTGACATGAAAGAACAAATAAAATCATAAATTAATTAGAGAAAAGTAGAAGGAAGTTACTAATTGAAGCTTGAAAATGTTGAATACAAAGTGCCAAATTTATTACAATGATTAATTTTGATAAAAACTAAACTAAATTAACTAAGATTAATGTTTCAAACTAAGAGGAGTTTCTAAAAACTAGGTTATTTCTGTCTCTAATTACAAATGAGCTAAAGGGGAAGTATTTATACTCTCCGAAAAACATAGGGAAATCCGTCAAAAGAAAACGGATTCCTAGCGAGGAGCGCCCGCTCAACAATGAGGAGCGTTCGCTCCATACTGCTGCACGCCTGCTCCTCCTACTTCATTGAAAAGTCAGATTTGAAGGTAACAAGGAGGAGCGCCCGCTCCCCTGTTCCATAGCATAGGCAGTTTTCAAGTTCAAAGGGAGGAGCATCCGCTCCTGGTCAGGTGCATGCCCGCTCCTCACAAGCTCTGGACTTGGGCAGAATGTTGTTGAAGTTGAGGAGCGCTCGCTCCAGGAGGGGTGCATGCCCGCTCCCCCTGGAGCGGGTTCTCACTTCTTTGTCTTTGAGCCTTGAAAGTTACTCCATGCTTTTGAGTGCTTGTCAAATTGAGATATAGTACCTGCAAAACATAGATAAACACAAGCAAAGAAGGGGCGAAGCCGAGATACAACATTTCAATTCAAAAAACGGGTTAGAAAGAGGGGAAAAGATTACAAAATCGGGCTTAAATCAACACTATAAGTGGTCAAATAAACCACTTATCAATAGATCCGCCTGAAATTTTTAGATCCTCCTTGGTACTTTCGGAATTTTCAGGCGGAGCTTCACTTTTTTAAAAAAAAATATTTTTATAGATGAAATGAGTGTGAAGTGAGTTGTGATTTCAGGAATGAGTGTTGTGAGTGTCGTGAGTATTTATTTACAAGGGGTTAATACGGAAGTTTATATAAAAAATGCGAGCAATGCCTAGTAAAATGGGAGCGATGTTTAACAACCCCCAGGAACATTGTTGTTGTTATTATTACTCTTAGCCTTTTCTTTTAAGGGTTACATTGAATTTTTTTTTCCACTATTTACATTATATAATTTGAATTTCTGACCTATTAATCAATGATAGTGATCATACATATGAAACAATACAATCTTGTTTATATAGTACTGTTGGAATTGTCTAATTAATATATTATTAATATTTAATTATTATACTTTATACTTATTGATAATTATAGTATACTTACTCTATTCTTTTTTATTTGACCTATTTCATTTATTACACTTGTCAATGCATAGTTTTAATCATCAATCACTTAACATCTCCATAAGTAAAAATTATAAAAGTTATATATTGTGATAGTACTTATTAGGACGATTCTAACAAGACCTCACATGAATATGTTTTTCCTTAAAAATGACTCATAAGAGACGGTCAAATGAGGGGTGGTGAATAGTGTAAAAGTCAAAGCGGGTCAAGTAAAAATGAATAAAGGAAGTATTATTAGTTAAATTTTTACATCGACATAGACGAAGATTGACCTGACCCGAATTGAACTGACCCGAACGCAATCCGACCCGAGTTTGACCCGACCCGAACTTGACCCGATAATTGGACCCGAAGACTAACCCCCGAAATGACCAGACCCAAACTCAACTCGACCCGAACTCGAGTTGAAGTGTTGACCCGATACCCGACCCGACCCGAATTACCATTGACCCCGACCCGAACTAACCCGACCTGCTCCCGACTCATTTGCCATGTCTAGTGTCTCATACATTGTTCAAGGGTATTCAATTGTGTGTCATTAGAGACATTACTATATATAGAAGATTCAGTAGTTCAGTACTAGTAAAAAAGCATTTTGGAAGTGGAAAGTAGAATATTCCGATAATGAAAGTAAAAAAGGCATTGAAATGAATGAAATCATAGAAAGTTATTGACCCTAGTATCCCTATCGAGGTTTTAAGGAAAGTTTAGTATTGAATGGCTAATAGACATGTTTAACAAGGTTTGGAGAAAAAACAAGATTAGAGGGATAGCACTATGGTATCGGTTTATAAGAACAATGGGATGCTCAAAACTGGTCAAACAATCCGAGGTATAAACTTAATGTGCAACACCATGAAACCATGGATAGAATGATAGACCTTAGACCATGGAAGTTATACGTGTGACAAAATCGTACTTCATATCATTGAATAAGGCTTTAATTGTTTAGTGCTAGTTGTTGTTGTTGTTTTCTTAATGAAAAATATAAGTAAAATCGATTTAAGTTATTAAAGTTTATGATTTTATACTAAATAGTTATTGAAAAGTTAAGAATGTAAGAAGTGAGACATAATAATTAAGGAAAAATAACGGGATGTAGACATAATAGGAAAGGGATATGAGAATACGAAGTACAAAATTTGGTGCATTATTAATTTACTATACATGTATAGTCGTCGTATGTATAAATAATAAAAAGCAAGCAATTTTACATACTATAGTACTTGAGCATAAGGTTCGTAGAACCATCTGATAAATAGGTAGACATATAAATAGTTATGGGTAATAATGATCCAAGCTTGATGTAAATTTCATTTAAATCTGGTTTTGGACTAGAATAATTATAATTTTTATAAATGCACCAAACTTTGCTTTAAAGGCTTTCTTAATATAAGTCTTGCTGCTCACCCTCCTATTTCCTATCCTCTTATAGTATTTGCAAATAAGAAAATTAATATTAGTCTTCAAATATAAGCATATATATATTGATCACTACAAATGATACTTCAATTCCAATCCAATCAAACAAAGTGTACCATTAAAAATATATAGTAAGTTGATATTAAATACTCAATAGTCATCTTAAATACTCAGTAATTGATCTAAATAAGCATAGAGTATTTTAAGCGTCGATTCAAAGTGTGCCTATTTTAACATATGTGAATATGTTTGACAATCTTTGAAAGTTGGAATTGACTAATACGACAAGGACAAGGAATAAAGTAAGGATAGAGCTATCAACAAGTTTTAAGAAACTTGTAAATCGTTAACAAATTTTACCGAAAAGGACAAGACAACCACAAATTTTGATCCAGGAAGGTTACACCCTATTCATAATAAATGAGATTACTAATTCTATATGGTGAATAATCACGACTGAAGGTATAGGGATGAATTAAAGGTACGAAATTAAAATAGCAAAAAAAATTAAATAAATAAAATCAATATTAATCATAATGCAATAAAGATATAAGGATTAGTTGATAAAATGGATACATATAATTCTAGTTTCTTTCTCAATATAGTATATGAGACCGGTTTGATTATATATTGTATATTTTATTTTGTTACAATGTTAAGAGCTTAAACTTTTCAGGAAAAATCTCGTGAAAAGATAAATGATTTCTTTAATCACTTTGGATTATGTACAAAATGTCAAGCCAATAGGATACAGTTCAAAGATCAGATAAAGTATTTATGTAATCCATGTACAAGAGTTAGATTATTTGTCACATAGTTAATTAATTTTGGTTATGAAGTCTAATTAATAAATCTTGATAGATGTAAGGCTCATAACAACTACAAAGTATATTATTCTAGGTTTGTAATACAAAATCAAATCAATATACTTTTTATTTTAAATCAATCGTATCACGTCGGATTCTGGTTCTTAAGGCCATCTTGATTTTGTGCTTAACAATTATTTCAATATAAAAGCAATACAAAAGACCAAGTATGCTTCCATTAAATTCATTGGCAAAAAGGTAATCATAAATTTTTTTTCTTCAAAATTCTCCCTTCCCCTTACAGCTAGCTAGTGTCATTTAATTAAAAAAAAATTAGGAAGAGTTAATCTCTAACCAATGTCATTACTATTAACCTAAGATAATTAATATATATACAAGCTAGCAATGCATGTGTTAAAACTAGAAAGTGAATTTTTTATATATTTTAAAATTTAGTCATTTTCATGTGAGAAATATATTATACTTTATATAGGCTATATCCTCTAATAATTCTCCTATACTTATTTGATTGTTGTTGTAAATAATATTTTGATTATGTGTGTTTTTCAGACATGTCTAAAACGGTTGGAGATAGTAGCATGAATGATGCAAAAAAGTTTACTGCTTTAGTTGTAGACGATACTGCTATCATTAGAAATATTGAAGAAATGTTGCTTAACAGTAAAGGGTTTAAAACCAAGGTCGTGGAAAATGGTCAAGAGGCCGTAAACACTTTCATTGAAGGCAATTCTTTTGATGTTATTATCATGGATATGGAAATGCCAATAATGGATGGGATTCAGGTAATATTTTTTGTATTATATCTTAACAACATATCTTTTAATGATATAAGGCTATTAATAAATCAATTATGATTAATATAACATTTTGGCATAATTAGAACTTAGATGAATACTAATTAGCTAATAGCATGAATAAAATAATTAAATTTGAATCATTATATAAATACAAGATAAATTGTATTATGTGTATTTATCCCTAAACTAAATTATCATTCTATAAAAAGAACCTTTATATTCAAGTTTTTTTTATATATATAATTGCATTCTAGTACATTCCTCATTTTTCAAATTAAAAAAAATTAATGTTTGTACCATCTATACTTGATATTTAAAAACTCCAATCGATTAAGACACATGTCCCCTTCCTAATACACTTCTCTATCTTTTTCTTACTATATTAATTTTTTATTACACTATTTTTCTTTAATTCTTTCATTAAACTTAAACTTCATCTTCCATGCACACTTCATCTTTATCTCCCCTCTTCAATTCAACCTTTTTCCTTTTCTCTCTTTAATTTTAGCCCCTCCACCTTCTTTATTTAGTCCCCATTTTCAATCAAAGTTCCAAAAATTAAATTTCTTAAATCATGTTTCTGATTACACATTATAACTATAATGACTTACTAATATTTCCTCATTCATCGTTCAATGCAATTTTTTTATGAATAATATGTGCATTGCACGGGCCAAAAGGCTAGTTTCAATTAAATTAATGAACTATAATTTCAAAGGGTAAAATTATCACCCTTGCATTATTACTTAATTATGAATACTAATTTTTTAATATTTATATTAATTTTTAAACTAATTCTTTTACGTGAAGGAAACTAAAGAGTTGCGAGCTATGGGCGTTAAGGGCTTAATATTTGGTGTGACGAATTCTGAATCAAAGTCATACATTCAAGCATTTGTAGAAGTTGGTTTAGATGAATACTTTCCAAAACCACTGGACTTTGTGAAGATTGATAACATACTCAAGCGCCTCGAAAAGTGATACTAAAATAAATTTGCATTGGCACTACAAAATGAAATAAATAAACTATGTTTTGTAATTTAATATTTAAATATTGTACTCCTAGCTTCGATATGTTGTTTTCTTTCTTTTTTTTTTTTTATAGTTTTCAATCAACACAATTATGATTAAATATTACAAAATTTCATATATTGAAAAGTACTCATTATTAAACATATATGCCCTTATCAATATATCATTAAAATGTTCGTTTACCTATCTATCCTTACAAATATTAATGTTTGTTCTAGGGCTGTCAAAAATTGACACGACACAATAACCCGACACAAAGTAAGCAGGTTTGGGTCAACAATTCTCGACCCGATTACATAATTGGATCGACACAAACACAATACGAAATTAAACAGCTTAGATTTGGAGGTTTGGGTTGAAATTTTCAACTCGAAACCGACACACATAACCCGATTATATAAATGGATTGAACGACAACCCGCCAACTCGAACTAGACACACTTAATCTATTAATTAAGTAGCAAAAAAAACTGATTTTTTTTTTAATTCAAAACTTGTAATTTTGTAATTACCTTAACACCATTTATACATTTTGGTAACTTTTTGGCGAATAATTTAGCTAAAAAATTATAATTTTCATCTTTTGTAAATTAAAATTTAATTAGGCGGTTAATTTGAGACAATTCTTATGTATGGTTGTATTGTTAAAACTACTAGCTTTAAATCCTTGTGGTATATTTTTCTAAAACTACTACCTTTAAACTGTTGTAGTATCTTTAATGCATTAATGACAGTGTTTGTCTTTTTATTTTTGAATTGAATATTAATTAATTTATTAAATACTATGTGGATAATGGAGAAGTATCGATTGTGACATAAATTCCTCCAACTATGGCCTTCACCTGTTGATGAAGGGACGACCTTAAGGTCATGAAACCAAGGGCGTCCCAACAACTAATTGAAAGAAGTAGTTTTGATGTCTACCACTTGGAAAGTAGTAACATGTTCAATGACTCCTGTCGTGACATTCATAGTGATAGTCCCAAGAGCTTGGCAACGAGAGTTGTCATAAGCCCTTATTCCTTGTGTAGATGGAGACAAATCTTCATCTCTTATTCCTAACATCCTCGCAGTTCGTAGTGGGAAAACATTGATAGCTGACCCATTATTTACAAGAGTCATTGGGACATTCATTCTCTGGCATATTACTGTGAGCTTTAAGGCCTTGTTATGTTTATCACCCTTTGGAGGTAGATCCTTGTTAGAAAAAGTGATTAGATTGATAGGACTTGGAAGATCACTCATGAGGAAATTAGCCAACCCCTCAGGAGTGGTTTCATAATCTATTCCTACTTTAGCCAAGACATCCATTACTGCGACTCTATGCTCACGGGATGTGGCTAGTAGTTTTCATACATTTATCTTGATTTAGTCTTCTTAAGTTGTTTGACAACATTATTGTTTCTATGATGGGTATGGGAATTTGTTGGATAGTAGGAATAGGTTGTGTTGTAATGGGAGGTTACATTCTCCCTAATCTTGTGAGGACATCTATGGGTGAGTCTTCTTCATCTTAAATGTCATCTACTGGATAGATTGTGGAAAGTGAGGTTTCTTCCAAATCTTTGAAGTAGACATCCTCATCATCACTTTCCCAAACTCCATTAATACTAGCATCTTTTTCCGGACTTATTTGAACCAACTTCTTGCTATCGATTAGTCCTTAGATTAGATCCTTGAACTTGAAGCAATGTTCAATGGTATGTCCCCCAGATTGATGGTAAGGACAATAGAATTAATCTGTCCTTTTTAGTGATTTAAAAGGTCTTGGCTCGTGAGGTTTAATCTTCCCACTCTCGAAGAGCTTTTGAAACATATTTTCATAAGAGGTCCCAAGTGGAGTATTAGGCTAATTGCTCCTTTTAGGTTTTTTGACTACTTGGAGAGAAAAGGGTTTTCTCTTATTAGTCTTAGTAGTTGTCATCTTTTCCATATCGCGCTTATTTTGAACCATTTTTAGATGGTCGAGGGTATCGCGACATATATCAATTGCCTCTTTCAACGTGTTTATGAAGTTCCATACCTCTTCTTTACTAGCAGACAACTCACCTATAGTATGCTTCTTGGCATCGAAAAAGGTTTCCTTCTCCTCTTCGATGGCATGAATCTCTTAAACTGCTTAATGAGGGTTGTTGGATCAACATGATTTTCCTCATCAAAAATAGCCAAGGAATCTGAAAGTGGAGCACTATTAATACTTGGCTTCTTACTTTCAAGAGGCACTTGAAGTTTGTTATTTTCAATGAGATCTTGAATAGCTTCCAGCAATTTTTAGTAAATTGGTCCTTGCCTTGATGGTATTTGAAATGTGCATTTGGGTTCCAGCTAGTTGTCCTCTTTTTGACTGGTGGATCCCCAAATGGTCCAATGGAAGTTATAAGACCCTTTGCATGAAGGCGATCAAAGGCTCTTAAGTGAAAGTAGGGGTTGTCAGTTGGTTTGAATTTAGGGATGTCATTGGCATTGAACTTCTACAGAAGAAGTTTCTTGTCCACTAAGACCCCTTGTGAACTAATCCCCTGGAATTTATAGTCATTGGAGAGCTTTCTCAAGCTTTCCTCCATTCGCTCCATCTGTTGTTGTTTTGCAGGGTCATTGACTTGAAGAGCAAGGGTCTAAACTAGCAAGGTTTTTCCTAAGCTCATCAACTTCTTGTTGGGTAGCCATTAGTACGAACTTTTTCCTGTGTCTGATGGGCTTATCGAAGAGTAGAACTTGAACGAAGGTGTTATCCTTGATTAATTGTCCTTCCTTTCTGGACCAAGAGTTGTAAATTAAACCATTTTGTTTTAATGACTTGACTCAAATTGACTTTGACTTTATTGGCTTTAAAGGCAAAAAAAGCAAAAATAGGGTGCATCTTTTTGGGAATCAAGTATGGGGATTCAAATAACATGGTTATCTTTGGAGGATTAATATCCAACTTACCCCCCTAAAAAATGACGGAAAACACGCGCACACAAGACTCTCTAGACATGTCAAGGTGTAATATGTATACAAAGTGTGTGCTTTAGAAGTGAGTGAAAGTGGCATGATTTGACACTTGTGTAAGACCATGAGACTATGTGCTTAGACTCAATTAAGGACTAAATACGGTTTCTGCCATTAATAAACTGATTAATTAGACTCAGCGTGAAGACTCCAGCAGGAAACTGGACCATCGCGCAAACCATGGCACTGTCGGGATACACCAGCACCGTCACGACGCGACATTGCTATTGCATCACGCCAGACACTAGCGTGTCGCGCCACAGGCTAAACCTCGGCGTCATTGCTGAAATTGTGGTATGGGCTTGTTTCTAGTATTCTACCTTAGAGGGAAAAACCTATAGTCGTACTAAGTTAGGTTTGATCAATTTATTTAGACTTTAAATACTAATATTAATTGGTTAATTAATCAATTAAGCAAAGTCCTTTAGTCATTAATTAGTTTATTTAGACTCGATCATAAGTTAAACAAACGGCTAGTGTATATATGCACAAGCAAGAGATGCACAAGTAGTCAAGTAAGCACAATATGTTGCAATGAGTGTGCAACCTAACCATGGCTCTAGTTCTCTAAAGTTCAAGGATAAGGGTTAGTCAAAGAGGGTCCATGGTTATGATTTCGGATGCATCGCTGTAGGGAATATTTCAAGCATTATCCCTAGCTTGAACCCCACTGTGATCATACACTAAAGTACGGTGGCGTCCAAAGGGAAAGAAGATAGAGCAAAAAAGTCGCCAACAAGTTTTAGGAACTTGTAAACCGTTCACAGGGTGAAGGTTACACCCCTTAACGATCCAAGAGATCATCAACTCCAATAGGTCTGGAACCATGACTGGTAATTTGAGGATGAAGGTACAAATCCAACCTAAAAGAGATTGAACCTGCCCTAATAATAGGCCTCTACTTTATTCTGATCGTATTCATGTGCGCTTTCTGACTAACATGCAATCAATATGATTAACCCTAAACCTGTTTATCTATGTTGGTTGAATTTAATGCACAAATAAAACTATTATTGGTGATCACTTGAATTATAATCATATTAACCCTAAACAAGATTATTAATTATCTTATTAAACATGATTACAAGTACAAATTCCCTTTAAACATGCATAAAAGGCGTGATCAAGCAATAACAATAAATATCAAGCAACATAATAATAATCAAAATAATCATTAAAATAATCATGATCATGTTAAAGCATAATAATAGCAAGATCCTAGTCATGATACTAACAAGATTAATAACAAATCCTAGCATGTCACTAAACATTAAAAATCAAAGCTTTAACCCTAACATGATACTAACATGAATATTAGGAAAGAATATAGGAAGCATAATACTTTTAATCATACTTTATATTAAAGTTACCCTAGACATGATACTAGGAAGATCAAAACGCCCTAACATAACATTAGGAATCATAATAACAACCTAAGCATGATTTCTACATCATAATATTAATAAAAACCATTAAAGTACTTACTTGGATGCCTCGTACCTCTTTCTAATAACAAAATACACACGTTAGTAACTTCAAGGAAAATAATAAAACAACAATCAAATTAAATAATTGAAATAAAGATTTGGGACCAAACCCTCAGAAATTAAACCTTTCACGTCTAGGGAGAAGGCAAATTCGAATTATGCTAGGTGTGTCTAGTGCTAATGTATGAGGAATTGTGTTTGTAAAAGGCTAGGCTAGAAAGAGAGAGAGAATCAAGAAATTCTTGATGAGAATTGGTGATTGAAAACTGAGTTTTTAGAAGACTATTTATAGAGAAAATCAGCCAAAAAGATAAAAAAAAAAAATCGAAACAAAATTCCGACGCGTAAAACGAGGTTAGCGCCAGACGCTGAAATTAGCGCCAGGCGCTAACGCTAGCGCCAGGCGCCAAGCTTAGCGTCAAGCGCTAATGGTAGCGTTTGGCGCTAACTTAATTATTGACGCGTTTTCTAAAAATCAGATAGAAATTGCGGTACCGGAGGATAAAATCGTATTTTCCTCAAAAACATTCTTTTATTCTGATTAAAGCTCTAAAAAGTCAACAAAAGTCAATTTATCAATGCTAATTGAATTAGGAATGAAAAGAACCTTCTAGAAGAATCTAGAGGACTAAAACCATTCCTAATTGCATTAGGAATGATAAATCCATATTAGGCCCTCCCCTAGATCATTGGGCC